ATGTACGGTACAGCAGAAAGGAAAGGAAAGGAAAGGAAAGGAAAGGAAAGGAAAGGAAAGGAAAGGAAAGGAAAGGAAAATTTAATAGTACTATTGGATAGAGACCCCCAGGAGAGAAGTGGGCTGCTGTCAGACTTGTGCCATCTGCTGAAATGTCGTGCACTAACAAGACTTCTTAGGAGCTGGGCTCAAACTCAACTACATTCCAGAATACTGACGATCCGCTCTTTCTTATGAAACAGAGAAATTCAATGGACGGGCTCAGCACGTCTTTATAACTTACCTTTTTTGAACCAGCAGCCACATTTGCAATTTTGACAGCATCTTGTGGGCACTTTCCCAAAATGGCCCCCAGAGAAATGGGTTACCACGCAGGCACAAAAGACCCGTTTCATAGAATCACAGGCTGAGAAGGGACCTTGGAGGTCACCTAGTCTAACCCCCTGCCCAGTGCAGGAATTCTTATACCATCCTGGATGAGTTTGACATAGAGGAAATGCGGGGGGGGGAGGATTATTCCCAATCACTTTATCAATGTTGCCCTCCCCTGACAGAAAAACAGCCGAGAGACACAAGAAATGTGCTGGACGTGGTATCGAGATTAAGAAAGCCCTTCAAAGAATTCTATTTACGTCTCCAACGATAACGGCCTGTGCAGTGCAGGAATCCAAAAAGCATCTTCGATATTTTAATCTATCCTCGCTCATTTAAGCAAGCAATGATAGGTCTGTTTATCACTGGACTTTCTTTTTTGGGGGGGGGAAGGAAATGCTGTTTTCCCAACCTTCTATCTCACTGTGCCAAACAACAACAGAGGTTGGACTGCAGAAAAAAAATATTCCATTTTTTCACGATCTCTTTTGTAGCTGGTGGCGCTATTGATTTTGGTGCCCTCAGGATGTTTCACAAAAGGGCAGCGAGCTATTTGCCTTTTAGCGGATTTTTTTCCCTGCGCATTACGGATTTATGTTCTGCAGTCACTTGATAGCGTTCGCTAATTACTGTTCAATAAAAACAAAAATAAACCAAAATGGCCGGAAGGAAACTCATGTCCCAAATAAACAAATGTGCTAATCCATGGGGAGAAACTGGTCTCATCCAATGAAGCTGAACGGATGAAGATTAAGCATGGCAGAAGGGACTTTCTTCCCAAGATTTTGAGATTCTGTCGTTATGAAACGATCAAATAGCATACCTGGGGATCCTTGTGTGGTTTCCTGACCTGGCCTACCTCGAAGGACAGCCATCAATCTCCCCAATTTCTCTCTAACGTCTCTTATACCAAACAGAATCAAGGTGGGTGGATTTTGAGTTTCTTCCTCACCCTTTCCCCTCTCCTGGGGCTGGGTTGCTGTTTCTCCTGCCTGAACGGCTCTGGCATTCCTTCGTCCAGGTGATCTCTGCCCTCCTTGCCCCAGTTTGGAGGAAGGGAAGCGATGCAGCTCCAACTTACCCGTACAGCAGGCAAACCCCCATGCCGGCTGATATCACCCCTTGCAGCACGTGCCAACTGCCACAGGCCAACGCCAGACCCAGCAGGAGGAACTGCCCTCCAACCGCAACCAGGTCTCCTGCCATGGCTACTGGAAGCCGCTGTGAAGGACCACACAGCTCCAGGCCTAGGGAAGGACAGAAGGCAGGCAGGTCATGAAACAGAGACCGAATGATCCAAGGACACATCTACGAACCGCAGCTGAAAGTTTAGAACTGTGTTTTTCAAAGTTGGCCTCTTAAGGTGTGTGGACTGCAACTCCCAGAATTCCCTAGCCAGCAATGCTGGCTGGGGCGTTCTGGGAGATGAAGTCCATGCACACTGGCTGGGGCGTTCTGGGAGATGAAGTCCACACACACTGGCTGGGGAATTCTGGGAGTTGAAGTCCGTACACACTGGCTAAGGAATTCTGGGAGTTGAAGTCCACACATCTTAAGTTGCCAACTTCGAAAAACACTGGTTTAGAGTCTACCTCAAAGCAACATTAGATAGAAGCTTGATTTCTGCTTTGCCACCAAGTCAGTATTTTCTGTTCTGCCTGTTATTTAATTTCAGTTATTTTCAAGGCAGGCCACAGGACACCCAAGGGCAAATAACATTATCAATCCTAATTAAAAGGAACAAGCATTGATATAATTAAGTTAATTATTAAGCACATGAAAAAAACACACAGCCCTTGGGAAAACCACCCTGAACTTCCGTATGCACATTTTAAAAAGGCAACAGGCAGTTAAGTGCTTCCCCAAGCTTAACAATAAAGGCAGGGGACGATGGAGGCTGTCACCCACATCTGGAGAGGCATTTCCGAAACCTCCCTGGATTTATGGGTGTGCAAAACATCTCCGTTTCAAGCCTGGACTCGTTTTGGAATTTCTGTTTCAACATCACTTAGAACAGCCACGTTTCGAGACCGGGCAATTGAGAAAAACCCATTTCAAGGGCAAAACCTTGATGACCGTACTCTGCGCATCCTTGCACAATTTTTACCCATGACTGAACCCTGTACAAATAGAGCCTCAAACAGCCATTCCAAGACGAGGGATTGCAAAACCAGGTCGGAACGGAGACCACCAAATTCTGAATCCCGCTTTCGCTAAACCATCGGCAAGGGCACTGAAGGAATACGCTTTGTGCACTGCCAATGTTTAAAATTCATTGATAGCTCACGCCTAAATTAATAGCCCGCTCTTGCTGGCCTCTTCAAGCAGGCAGCCCAACACAAATCCAAAATTTGTGGGAACGGGAAGGCCAGGCATGGTGGCCCCAGGCTGATACTTACGGCTAATGTAAAGGGCGAGCTGCATGGCTCCCAGCATCGTGCCCCAAAGGCATCGCCCTAGCATGAAGACCGAGGGGGAGGCTGCAAAGGCGGCCAGCATACCTGCGGGGCAGCCAAGAGCGAGGGCCAGGAGGAAGGTACTCCGTCGCCCCACGCTGCAAAGAGCAACAGAGGTTGAGAGATTAGTCTACCAAGTGTTTTTTGCTTCTCTTCCATTCTGAGCCGGGCCACGTTTCCTCTCAACCTCTTTCAACGTCCTGCTGAAGAGGCAAGCCACGCTGAGGAGTAAAGAGAGAGGCTACTCTTTTCAGCTTAACAAACATTTAACACAGTTGAATTTTTGAACTTCTCAATAAAAAAAAAAATCAGCCTGAGGAAGTCGGCACATAACTAATGTTTGGGAGGAAGAATGCACAAGCATTTCCCCCCCGCCTCCAAAATTTGGTGATAGGTAACTAATAATCCTGAAACGCAACTTTCTTTCATGATAGCCCCTGGGGAGGTTGTGAGATTTAGGCCAAAAACCTAACCCCAGGAATAAGTTCCATGCAACAAGGCAACACATTTCTGCGTACGCACACACACTATTTATTTTAAATCAAAGCATGAACTGAATTTGGTGCTTGCCTCTTTATCTCCCAAATTCAGCACTTAATCTATGCATGTGTCAACTTCCAAATAGGACATCTGAAAAAGTTCAAACAATTTTTAAAAGGCAGAAAGTTCTTCTAAAATGTTGACTGATCTAGCCTACTTATCTCTTGAGGGTGCCCTGAAAGGCTGGTGGAAGCCTCTGGAAACATCACTGGGGTTTTCCAGACTTAGGGAGATCAATTCCCCCTTGAGATATCGCATAATAATGATCTCCCTCAGCCTGGAGAACCCCAACTCAAAGTGGGTTATCACAAGAGATCTTAATACAAGTAGTCCTCGCTTAATGACCACAATAGGGACTGGAAAATTTGTTGTTAAGCTAGCTGTGCCCGATTTTATGACCTTTTTTGCAGCAGACATTAAGTGAATCACCATGGCTGTTAAGCGAATCATGCAGTCGTTAAGCGAATCATGTGGTTCCCCATTGATTTTGCTTGCCAGAAGCCAGCTGGGGAGGTCACAGATGGAGATCACATGACTCTGGGATGCTGCAACTGTCGTTAAGTGTGAGCTGGTTGCCAAGCGCCTAGATCGCAATCACATGACCGCAGGGTGCTGTGACAGTTGTAAATGTGAGGACCTGTTGTAAGTCCCTTTGTTCAGCATCATTGTAACTTTGAATGGTCACTAAACAAATGGTTGTTAAGTGAGGACTACCTGTAATTAGATTAGTGTTTCTCAACCTGCTGGTCAGGGAATCCTGGGAGTTGAAGTCCACATATCTTAAAGTTGCTAAGGTTGAGAAACACTGAACTAGATTGTCAGTCGTGTTTTAGAAGCGTGGATAAAGTGGGGTCAACAGGAAGGAAAATCCACTCCTTTCACCCACTTGTAGCAAAGGGGTACAATTTTGGGAAAGAGTTGCTATTCCACCCAGAACCTCTACTTCTTTGCAGAACCAGCCCTGTTCTACTATCTCCTGGAAGAGAGAATGCCAAGTCTGACATTATCTCCCCCAATGCTTGAACAGTAGGGCAGTGAAGGGTTGGACTTGGAGCAGGTAGGCCCAGTTTCTACATCTCCCCTCAGCCACATGAGTTCACTGGGGGACTTTGGGCTATTCACACACTTTCTCAGCTCAACCTTCCTTGTTCTTATGGGGAAAAAAATAGGATGGAGTGCTGTGTACACTGTTTAACACATAAATAACAAAGCAGTTCTTCCCCTTTCCCCAAGAATTCTGAATTTTTTTTCCTTTTTTCCATCAAAAACATCTAACTTACCTGTCTGCCAGGTGACCCAGGAAAACGGCTCCTGCAGCGAAGCCCAGGAGAAAACAAATTTGCTCCAAGGGGACAATCCAGCTGCGGGAATGATCGAGGGACCACTGCAGAGAAAAAGGATCAGGAATTTTTTAAAAGCAAACCGTGCCTTAGGATGAATGAGTCCATAATTTAAACCTGAACTTGGAAGGCGTTGGGTTGCATCTTTTCAGACTAATACATTTTGTGGGACTGAGCAATGGTTCCTGAGAGAGAGATCAAAGCAAGTCAAGGTACTTTGCTAATGCTCAGAGCCTTCTATCCCTATGCTACTAATCACTTTTCCAGGTCACCAAGTTCAGGTTCAAATTAAACCTATGGCAGTAACAAAAGTAAACGTGTATATGGTTTTTTATAATTAATTTCAAACAGAAGCAGAGGACAAGATACCAGCGTGCCCCGAAATTAACTTGTGTGCCTCCAAGAGAAGAAAAAATCCCATATATCTGCTTAGGGATATTTTACATCCTTACCCCCTTTTGTACAGAACCAAACCTTCTGGGTGATGAACCTTACGCAGAGCACAGAAAAAGTATAGGAAATAGTAACCCCAAAAAATTAAAGGCATGAGATAGGACAGAGAAAATGAAACAGAGCTAAAACTAATTTATGCTAATACAGGTAGTCCTCGCTTAACAACATTTGTTTAGCCACCATTTGAAGTTACGACGGCACTAAAAGATACTTACGACCGGTCCTTGCACTTACAACCGTTGCAGCACCCCCACAGTCACGTGATCACCATTTGCGACCTTCCTAGCCGGCTTCTGGCAAGCAAAATCAATGGGGAACTGTGTGGTTTGTTTAACAATCACTGTAAAAAATGTTACAAAATCGAGTGTGGTCACGTGATGCTTCGCTTAACAATCGCCCTGCTTAATGATGAATTTTCCGGTCCCTATTGCAGTTGTTAAGCGAGGACTACCTGTACTATTTACCAGACTTTTCCATAAGTCTAGTAAACCATCCAGGCTTCAACCATGCTCACATCCTGCTTCTTCCATTGCCTTTCAATTTTTAAACTTCTCTCTCTCTTTCTGAGGATCTCATAAATTCCTTTCAACTTGTAAAGGGCGATGCACCGATAAACAGAATTAATCAATCAATCAATCAATCAATGAATCCATCCATCCATCCATCCATCCATCCATCCATCCATCCATCCATGACATTCTTGGATCTTCCCTTCTTTAGGACCTGCTGGCTCTTCTTGATGCATTTGTTTTGCAATTCAATCCTCATTTATTCTCTCACTAGGAACAATCTGTCCTGTATTAAATCTCCATTCTTTTCACACCATTCGTTCTTGGCTCTTGTTTCTTTGCTGCGCGTGCTTAAGTATCCCATTCCTATTGCACGGACGTAGTGTCCATCTCTCACTTTCTTATGGTAAACATGCTTCTACACCACCATTTTTGTTTCCTCTGGAAGATACGCATTTCTCAAATACTACCAAATACCTTCCTACCGGCATTTGCTCATCATAAAAGCTCAATCTATTTCCCCATCTTTAATAAATCTAAAAGGCACCAATCCGTCTAGTTGCTCGATAAAGCCAATAAATTATGTATATGCATAATTTGCAATTATTCACTCAACTGGCCCTATTGAATACCACTACCCTGGTCTTTGATACCTATTTTTTTTTTTCCAGATCTCTATTCCCCGTTGCATCATACAATCTAACATTTGCTGCAAATTATTCAGGTCCTCAGCCAGGAGCATGGCATCATCTCCATGCAAAAGGATACGCACATTCACACCCTAAGGCCGACACGCTCTCAAATCAGAAGCGTCCCTCTACAGATTGATTAATAAATATATTAAACAACCGAAGTGACATTGCACATCCTCGTCTTACTCCTTGCTCGGTGTTGAACGAATCACTAAGCGCTCCATTTACAGTGGTACCTCTAGTTACGAACTTTATCTGTTCCGTGACTCTGGTTGCAACTCGTGTTGGTCGCAACACCAGGTAAAATTTCCCCTTAGGGTCCATGTTAAAAAAATTTAACCCGTTCCGTGACTCTGGTTGCAACTCGTGTTGGTCGCAACACCAGGTAAAATTTCCCCTTAGGGTCCATGTTAAAAAAATTTAACCCGTTCCCCCC